TTTCCTTCACGTGAACACGTCCAGGAATCCAGTATCCGCAGCCGCCGCATAGTACTGCTGCACTACTGACTGTGTAGTATAGTAGTAGCAGGAAATCCAGGTTGTACCCATCCGTTGTCCAAAGATTTGTGATTCCGTGAGAGAAGGAGATACCACCGCCGTCGAAGGGTCGAAGGCACNCACTGTCTGCCAGATGTAGGCTGTGAGATGGATGGAGCCACCTATGTGTTCTTAGCCTGCCCGCCCGTGAGGGTCGTGACGAGGCCGCGGCATGTGTGTGTGTTTGTGGGGTGTGTGTGTGTAGTGAACCGGCACTATTCCGGGGCGCCGTGGTGACAAACCGGCACTATAGCGGGGCAGCCCTCAATAGTGCCGGACCGGCACTATTGCGGGCGCCGTCTGTGTCCAGACATTTTACCGGCACTATACCGGGCACCGGCACTATTCAACCGGCACTATAGCGGGCCAAGTACTGTACTTTACTTCTATCGCTGGTTGATGGCCATGTTTGCGTGTTTTCTTGTCGTTAGTGGTCTCTCCACCGTGTGCCTTTTTCTGTCTCCTATTTCTTGTTATTTTTTATTTTCGGCCTAGTCCCTTTTTGTCCTCGCTCTTTTTATTTCATTTTCTTTCCTTTTACTGTTTCCTTTTATTTTCCTTCTCTTTTCTTGTTTTTATTTCATTTTCTCTTCCCTTTATTTACTGTTTCCTTTTATTTTCCGTCTCTTTTTCTTTTTTACTGTTTCCTTATTTTTTCTTCTCTGTTTTTTCTCTTTTTCTCTTTTTCTCTCTTTTTCTGTGCCAGATGGCCTTGTTTGTCTCTGCTTCCGTTGTGAAGTACCAAGATTGAACCAAGGGGGTGTACCTCATTCTCTCCGGCCCGTGATGGTGAATCCTAGTCTCAGTTGTTACCTCGCATAGCGCGCAGAGGGAGTGGAGGACCCCAGAATATCTATCTTGAGGACCCTTTTTTTGACTTGAGGACCCCTCGAGACTATTTTATTGGGTGTACCTTTTTAGGGTAAGTTAGTCTGCGACCAGGGGAATCGACCGCGTCGAGTGTTGTATCAGTACGGACATACGAACGTACTGGGTAGAGAGAGATCGGAACGGTTTTTAATGTGAAGACAACAACAACAACAACAACAACAACAACAACAACAACAACAACAACAACAACATCTGTCTCTCCCGCAGTCTCTCTTCCTCCTCCCTATTTTTCTTTTTGCTGAAAAAAAAAGAGCTAGACCCAAAGGGGCTACTTTATTTTCAGTATATTCAAATGATCAGTGAAAATGATCAGTGAGAGGGCTTGTAGACCCATAGCTGGTTCTTGTACTTCTGTACTTCTCTGTGCCCTCCCCAATGTGAGCCCTGCCGTCTCACTACAGCTCCTGTGATTTTCCACAATCAATCCCACAATTCCCACAAGCACGCACAGGGCACACCAGAGCACACACACCTACCTTTGCATCAGTGGCTCTCTAGGTTCGGGCGAGGGTTTGTGTAGGGCTATGATGATGGTGTGTGTGTTACTACTACTACTGCTGTATGTTGGACTCGTCTAGAATATACTGCTGCCGCTGTATAGTATATAGCTGCTGACACGATGACTGCTGGATCTTGGGAAGTGTACGATTTTCATATTTGGAGGATAATATGCAGCATACCACGATCATATCCTGGCCTGGTTGGGCTTGAAGTGCCCCTTTTCGCTGTCATCCTGTCTTTCTTTGAGTGGCTTCCTAGATTCGGGCGAGGGTATGTATGTGGAGCTATTGGTGTGTGCCTTTATTGTGAAAGGATATGGCGAGAGATTCATGGTGGCATTTGCATTTAGAGCAGTGTGCATTTTTTTTTGTTTTTCTTAATATGACACAATGAGTCCATCTCTATCATTGATAAAGAGTCAGAGACAGATTGACAATGGAATTTTGGCCGTTACAGGGACGGACCTGATATTACCCGCTGGCACTGCTGTGACGTCTTTGTATTGGTAACCGGGTAGCGGGGTCGATGCGAATAATAAAGACACACCTACCTATTGACTTGCCAACACCTGGCGTGGAGGGATACAGGGTAACAACTCCATGGCATGCCACAACACCATCATTTGCAAGTGATCAATCAATGATCAGTCAGGACGCCTGTAGACCCAAAAGGGTTAGACTAAGGAACACATATATAAACGAACGTATCTCCGCCCACAATTCGCGGCGAGAGTAGACCCAGAGCGGGCCCAGGAGGCTGTCGATGCAGTACGCAGCGGTGAGATGTCGTTTAGGGTTGCTGCGGACACCTACGGGTTGAACCCGACCTCGCTCCATCGCCGTGTGGAGAAGGAGGTGGCCATAGATGCGAGGGTTGGTCCCGGGACTGTCCTGTGCAAGGAGGAAGATTTAAACAGATTTCGTACATCGACCTCTTCCAGCTCCCGTCCCACATATCGCACATCACCCAACCCTTGGACGTTGGTACGTTCGGAACCTTTCAAGAAGGAGCTCACCAGGGTGCTCACGGCCTACCCACTGAAAATCGGGGGGAGGAGTCCGGTGAAGCGCGACATGGCTGGCGTGATGGCGGAGGCATGGAGAGGGAGCTTCACGCCTGCGAATAACATGGCGGCGTTCAAAGGGGCGGACTTGTGGCCGGTGAACATGGAGAAGGCCATCAACCGACAACCCAGCAAGAGGAAACAACGGGAGAATGACCGCCCTATCCCTGAAGACCTCGCCGTCGTTGCCTCCAAGAAGCACGAAGAAGATCTCGGCCACGCTGCCCTCCTGGAGCTGAAACGACAGGGAGTGATGATCGAGGGGCTCCGCGTGAACACCGTGTTCCTCGGCGGACTCACCCGCCTCACCAAGCGCTCCAAGTCTTTCGCCCGTTCGGGCGGGCGGGGCGAAGCCCGAGGGCGGTCTCCTGTCGGCCGAAGAGCGCCTTGCTAAGGCCAGGAAGAACAAAAAGAGAAAGAGGCAGCTGAGAAAGTAAAGGTGGACAACGCCTAGGCCCGTACAGAGGCAAGGGCAGCGAGGGAGGCCAATCTTGGGCAGGGTGGCGGGCGGAGCGGCGGACGGAGCAGCGGGCGGGGAGGCGGGTGGGGCGGGCAGGGAGCTGGAGGGCGAGGCGCAGGGAGGAGTAGGGGGCAGTCGTTGCCAAGCGACGAAAACCCAATCCCGATGGCAACACCGAGGGGGACTGGGCAAAACGGTGCGCGGACGGAGATCGGGGGGCGCGGCTGTGGTGGGGCCAGGAAGGGCGAGACGGGCGCGGCCATGGCCAGGGTGGCCGGGGCCGCCCCGTTGGTGCTCGCGGAGAGGGAAGGGGGGCTGGTGGGCGGGTGGGGGCCGGTGCTCGCGTTCAAGGAGGAGCGGGACGGCCGAGAGGGGCAATGGCTTCCTTTGTTCAGCCGCCGGCGGCGGCGGGCCCTTTTTCCTCTCGAGGACGCAACGAACCCCGACACCAATCGTTGATGTGTAGACTAGATGCTGTACGGTTATCGTTTTTTTATTTGAGTGAAGGATGAATTATTCGAGTGGGACGTACAGAAAATCTCAGTTGTGTGTCGAGGTGCCGATACGCATTCCAGGGTTATGCTTCAACAGCTTTTGGGGGTACTTTCGAGCGTACCACGGGGGGAGGGGGGATGAGGAGTGTGGAGGTGTTTTCTGCAACCCCGGGGACGTTGAAATGCTGTCCCCGGGCCTGAAGGGCTATTGATTTTTTTTGCTGCTTCGCGACTTGAGCTAATCGTCTTGGAGGACCTTTCGATGGGGCGTTCGAGTGGTGGGAAACAGGTGCGGTTTTCTGCGAGAAGTCTCACCGCAGTGCCAAGCTGCTTTTGGCCTGGCCCAGTTCACTTGAATGTATGTAGTCTATGTAAAGAGGTCAAATGAGCTCCAGACGACAAGGTTTTTTCTTGCAGTCAAATTGATGTGCCTAGTAGAAGCTTGGGGTGGTTTCTAAGGCTATGCAGAGATGCTTGGGGTGCACTCCAGCACCGGGGGCGGGGGGGGCGGGGGGGGCGATACCTTGATTTTGCCGCGAAACCGGGGATATGGCAATTTTGTCCCCGGGTATACATGGATTTTATTTTTTTGCAACNTTGAATGTATGTAGTCTATGTAAAGAGGTCAAATGAGCTCCAGACGACAAGGTTTTTTCTTGCAGTCAAATTGATGTGCCTAGTAGAAGCTTGGGGTGGTTTCTAAGGCTATGCAGAGATGCTTGGGGTGCACTCCAGCACCGGGGGCGGGGGGGGCGGGGGGGGCGATACCTTGATTTTGCCGCGAAACCGGGGATATGGCAATTTTGTCCCCGGGTATACATGGATTTTATTTTTTTGCAACACGTTGTGGGAGTGTAAGGTGAATGTGAAACAAGGGAAATGGCCTTGGGGTCCCCGCGGAGAATTCTTACCGTAGCGGCCAGGTCCAAGGTTTTGCCTGTTTGAACGGGTATTACATTACCTACGCAACATTTTTCGTCCTAATTTATTTTCATGGAGTCGATATATGAGCAGAATGAACCAACGATGCATTAATCTCTTAAGTTCTGGCTCTTTTCATGTGCGCAGCACCACCGTACGGTCAAAAACGGGGTGAAATACGTCCCCGATTTCAGCCGGGAAACCCGGGGATGTGAGGCTTTTGTCCCCGGGCGTGGATCAATTCCAATTTTTTTCCTCAAATGGATACATGTTGCAACAGACGCATGTACACAAAAAATTAGATAATGAAACGCTTCAGAACGTACGAAATCAGCCACAAAGCTGAAGTGTTCCTTAATTGGGGTGGGTGGGGGGGTTCCACCATGTTTCATTAAACACTGATGTGCACTGCATCAGCTCTATCTCATGTGCCCTCACGATTTTTTTTTATTGTTTTTTTGAGAGGTAGTCTACAATGTATACCCTATCGTCCGATACTGAAAAACACTTGAAATTCGATATCACGCCCGAGAACGGGCTGTTGGCGCGAGAGGTGGCTTATGCGCTCCTTAAGTGGCCGGTTTACTCTACAGTTGGCGCCCGCAGTTAAGAAATAATTTGTGAAGAAATTGAGGCTCACTTTTTCACGAAAAACAAGAAAATAGGGTTAAGAAAATAGCTCAATCTGGGTCACACAACAATAAATGTCTCAATAAGAAACACAGCGGCGACCGCTGCCCTACTACACAGAAGAAACAAGGGTTTACGGGGGAGTGTGTCGAATAAGAAACAAACCCCACAGCTCTCTCGCTCTTTCCCCCTCTCCCCCGACCCCCCCCCTCCCATAGTGCATTATGATTAGTTCTCGTGAAACTCGGGTTGGGTTGGTTCGGGTAATTAGTCGCAGATCTCACCCCGCTTCGCGGCAAGAGTACGACTACCGCGTCATCCTGCACTGTGACGAAAGCACGCGTAGCATGAAGGTGCCGTTGGAGTCGTACAGCACGGATGAAGACGCCGCAATAGGGGCGTGGGTTCTCGTAGAGGTAGACCCAAAGGAGGGAGCGGGAGGCGCACAAGGGTGACAACCCCCAATGTTCGCCTCACGGAGCTTGCAACATAATGACGGGGTAGTTTTCGTTGTTGGCACGTCAGCGTGCGGGTGAGGCATCATGCAATGTTTATGCATTTGTTAAGTTTCAGCCCTCACTCATGAGGGGGGTACAGGACCTTGGAGCGATAGCGAGACGTTGCCGCTGGATGCATTTCGCTTCTAGGGAGTGGTGGCCTTACGTGCAGCCGTCGGTAGTGAGAATCGGGGTTGAGTACGGGGTCGAGGAAAGCAGTGCAAAACATTTGTACATTTGGAAAGTTGTGTAGTATGCAAGCAGAGAAATAAGAAATTGCCGATTTGGGAAATTCAGCAGGACTTGGCTGCACGAAAAAATAAGAAACTTGAAACAAGAAACTGAACGACATGCGCTGAGTTCATAGCCCACAATGAGAATTCGAGGCTGGACCTGAAACAAGCGCTTCTTAACTGCGGGCGCCAACTGTAGTTCACCTCATCACCGACAGAAGCGCGATGAACCTCGTACATGTGTATCGACAGCCAACCCGCAGCTTTTGCGCTGGCGTTCCAAAGAGGGTATCCATGTTTGGTCGTATCTCTTCTCTCTTTGCTCCCTCGCCCCCACCTCCTCCATGCACCTTCCCGGCCACAACGTTCTGCCGAGCTTCGTCCTGGCGTCTTTCACTTAGTAGAAGCAGGCGTCTCCAGTCGACAGGCACGCCTGTTTAAAGGGGTGTGAAGATCCGTGGTATCTCCCACGATGGTTGCATGCGTGCAAAGTGAGCAAGCAGACTTGAGAGCGAGAGCACAGAGCGCAGCCAAATCCTGCGTTTCTTCCACCCGGCCTTCGCGCCTTCGCGCGTCTGTCCTCCACGACCTGTCGCTGCATCCACCATTCCAGGTTGTTTTCTGAGCGCCTTAGTTTGTTTTCTGAGAAGCAATAGTCCTGGCGTCACACCCACGTGCGCAAGAAGGCCAACATGCGCTACATACCGCCCCGGAGCTTCCTAAGCAAGCTTTTGTGAGAAAGAAATCGTAATGTTTTCGCCCGAATGCGTGTGTCCTCGCATGCTACAGCAACAGCAGAGACAGCTGTTACCCGCCGGCGTCGAAGCAGGAACACCATCCACACACGCGGTCACGTCTGCGTCCGTCCGAACCACTGCCAGCTCTGACACGGTACGTGCAGATCCGCCGAAATAAGGAAAGAGACAAAAAAATCCCTGCCGATTACTTGGGCCACGCCACCGCCGTGCACATACCCACCCGTTACGAGAGGCAACGGAAAGACTACGACGGCAACAACAGCAACGGCGTGCTCGTGCCCACCATTTCCTCGCTCGCTACAGCGATACGCGCCAACCCTGGCGAACTGGCAGAGAGCGAGCCCCACCAAACACCGCGTCGAAACCACGCGGAGGGTAATGCTTGTCACAACTCTCCCTTGCCGAAATACCACGCTTTTCGCGCGCATGGAAATCCCACCGCTAAACCGCCTGCTTAATTCTAAAACCCCGGATTTTCTTGGACCGGAACGCCATCTCTCCGGTGCGTTCAGCGGCGGCGGTCGCGGCTCCTACTGCGCCTGCGCCTGGGGCAATGAAGTTCGGGGGTCGGCGGGAGGGTGTGTCCCGGGGTCATCGATGGTAGTTGGTTGCGGAACGATCTGAATTTCATCGACGGCATATCATGATGGTTGCAAACGGTCGGTCTTACAGGTATAACCAAAACTTTAATTTGGATAACAACCACGACTTTTTGCGACAATGAGAAAGCCATGCGCAATGTGTGTGCCTGTGGGGTCTGAAGCTTTTTGTAAACATGCGCGATGCGATTATCTATGCTCACCGGTTGCTGTCAACCTGGAAGTCGGTCGACACGGCTGCACGACCGAGGCAAGTCTTCGCCGCGTGGGCAGCTCTAAAAACCCACTATGATCATATATATATTTCCATATTTATGTTCTGATTCCTACGCTAGTTGTAGTTGTTCTTGCTATCGTCGTGATGATTGTTGTTGATATTGTTGTTTTGCTGCTGCTGCTCCTGCTGCTACTGTTGCCTCCGCACGCTCCAGACCATTCCGATCTCTCCCCAGTACCTCTCCTCCAAGTTAACCGCTACATCCTATCCCACAGCGAGAAAGGCATGTTCCGTCGTCATGGGCCATGTGCTCATAAATCACCAGTGCGCGAGAACACGAGCGCGATGGACACGCACCGACGAGCGACACAACTTTCACACACACCAACAAAGTGGGCGTTCCGTTCACAAACCCACACCGACTACAGGACATCGCAAAATTCTTGTCCTGGTCGTTGAAATCAAGTACTTATGTTTGGTTGAGCCAAGGGAACGGTATTTTCCCGCGACACACATCACGAAAGGACAACAAAGCCAGCAAGGAAGACGACCAGTAACAACAGCAGACAGCCGTACCGTCCTCGGTGAAGGTATCCGTACCTGTCCCTGCTTCCATCCCGGCTCCGGCTCCGGTCCCTGCTGTCCCCCCGTCTGCAGATGCAGCACCACAAAAAGAAAAAAAACACACGGGGGGGGGGGGGCAATGCTGAAATCTTGGGGAGAAAACGAGAAAAAACGGATGAGGGAGCTACAACTATCAAATGGATACGGCGCTCGGCNGGGGGGGGGGGAGCAATGCTGAAATCTTGGGGAGAAAACGAGAAAAAACGGATGAGGGAGCTACAACTATCAAATGGATACGGCGCTCGGCCAGAATTTGTTCAAGCACGAGCAAAGCGGCACAGCCCGGATCGGCAAGCAGCAGTTTTGCACCTTGCTTTCCGTTGAAACAGCGTGAAGGGGGCTTTGTAGATGTCTGTGACTTCAAGACTTCTAGAGAGTCTATAACATACTTCATAAACTTGGAAGAAATGCAGACACACCAAAACAGAATATTAGTAAAAGAGAGACAACAGAGGGGTTCGAGCGAGTTGGGGTTCATAGCGCCGCGGAGCAAGATGCAGCAAGAGACGAGGAACACTACAACGCCGCGCCATGGGAAACCATCCGTGAGGACGAGAAAGTGCACATGCTGCGATCGCGTGGATCGAGAGGCAGCTTGGCGGCACGAACAATAAAACGCCACGGTGGGGAGACTATGATAGCATCAACACCGAACAGGCCGCCGAAACCATCTCTCAACAGAAGGGCGACACATTGCAAGGATATGCCCCACAAAATCAAAGGATTGTGCGTTTACAAAAAATCGCACGTGCGTGTGTGTCGTCATGATAAAATATTACTCGCATTGTTGGACAAAAAGTTTTGGCGGGGAATTGTCGAAAGCAGCCAAGAGAACTCTGTTCCTCCGAGATACCGTGGAAGAGAAACAACGGTCGCACAAGCTTTTCGCACGTGTATATACATGTGGTAGGCCCTGGGCCCTCAAAAGCAAACCGCGCCGGGCAACATCACATTGAAAAAGCATTCGCGTGCTGAAACAGGCGTATTCCCGTGGGTAAACACGCGAGCACGGTCTCTGGGGTATTCACAAGAGGAGCCCCACACACACACCACAGTCTCTTGCTTGATCAAGCGCATTTCGTGTGGTCGCAAGCAATAAACTAACACACACAAAACACGAGGACACAAGACACGAGGAGTAGAAGTGGCAGGGGAGGAAAAAGGCTTGGAGGTAGTGTATCGTGTATCGTGTTCTCTGCATGCATGCCAGGGTTCGAAAGCCCAAGGCTGGAACCATCTGTTCGTTCTCCTCCGCGTCCCTCCCTCCAAATCGGTAAAACCTGGCGGACTAACAGGTGTTGTCTAGGTTTTCTCGGCAAGGCTGCCTGCTGCTGTCATTTCATCTCTCAGCGCCGTCGCTGGTAGCGCAACACACACACACCATGGCTTTGCATTTTCTGTTTTCAGCCGCACTGAGACTAACGTTTTTTCATTGGATAGCCAGTAAGCAAGGTCGATGCTACTAATATGAAAAACATACACAAGAGACTTCTCATTTCTTCACTTTGTCAGACGGTTGGCGCGGTCGACGCCAATAGCAAACAAGCACACACACACACACACAAGATATCGAGGATTGACTCTGTTGCCCTCGACGCTACAAAACCACTGCCGTCGGATCTCGGGAAGAATGCACGCGACTACCAACTTCCGACATACCTGCCACGCTCCCGGCTGTCGGACCTCTTGCTGTCCCCCCCGTCCCCGTCCTTGCCCGCGGGCCGGCTCTTTTCCCGCTCCTCCCTCTCCCGGTCCCGGCGGGCCCTCTCCTCCTGCCGCTCCTTCTCGCGCCTCGCCTCCCTCTCGGCCTCCTTGGCCTCCGCCGCCAGACGCTCGCGCTCGCGCCACTCGGCCTCATGGCCCTTCTTCGGGCGCTCCTTGCGAGAGTCTCCGAGTCCGCCGCCGAACCGACGGGGCTATTCATAAAAATAGAGCCGGACGGAGGGCGGGGGGGGGGGGACTCATGTTTTGCGTCGGGGCTTCTTATAACGCAGCGGGAAGACGTGCTTTGCATACACCACAAGGAGGAGGGGGAGGCGGGTACTCATATTTTGCGTCGGGGCTTTTCATCACGCACAAGACGTGTTTCGCATACACCTGCACACACAAACATGGTTGACGAGCGCCGGAGGAGGGGGGGAGGGGGGTGTACTCATAGTCGGGCATGCCGTAGTAGTGTAGTAGTTAAAACATTGACCTCTCATCCCTACAGAGCCGGGACGGAGCACGCCCGGTTCTCACCGGACCAGGCTACGTTTCACAGAGATCAACCGGACGGGTAGGGGTAACGATCACTTGTTGCCGATTTCATGTGACCTTGAACAACTGCTGTGAACCATCCCGACGAAGCAACATGAGTACAAAGGATGGCCCATGTGATCAGTTACATCTGCACTTGTCGCCGGCAGCGGGAGGCACGTTTGAAACAAGGCCGTCGGGTTTTCTCGTCCATTCCTCTCTCGTCTTTTCACTTTTGGGAACCCGCGACTCCAACAGCGGCTTTTCAACCCTGGCTCGGCGTGCTTTCTATTCGCGGAACATGCCCCCGGGACACAGAGCCAGTCCTCACGACTCCTAGGCGTCGAGCATACAGTGTAACGGGTGCCCAACGAGAGCTTCGGACATGCACCACAATGTACCGACGTCCCCCTCTTGCCTGTCCGTCAGCAAAAGGCACGAGAAAAGCTCTACCGCGAGGCCAGACAAAAAGCTGTAAGGCCGAAAGAGACGGCACAGACAACGAGCGAAATGCCTGACGACAAGGACAACAAGAAATGTCTCCATGTTCAGAAGTCACCACGATCAAAACAGTTGGCTCGGGACTCACTAGCCAGTTGCGCACGGTGCGGCCGCGCTCCACGTCTACGAGGACGCGGCGGCCGTCGATCTTGCGGCCGTCTCCTCTCTTGTAGGCCACGCGCATGTCGTCCTCGTTCTCGTACTCCACGAAGGCGTAGCTGCACACGCGCAGTTTGGGGAACAGTTAACGTGGGTGTGTTCTTGAATACTACTTGCATCGTGTGCGAGTTTGTGTGCCGTGGGCAAATGTATCCATTGGACATGCGCCTGGCTGGTTGCTCGTGCATCACACACAAGATGGATTTGCAGACAGGAGGCGAGACATGTCGGCACAAGCAACCAACAGCCACAGCAGCAGACGCATACTGCTGTGTTCAAAGAAGAACTCTGCCACGCTTCTGAGACAGCAGCAGCAAATACTCAGCAGCCGCAGCGACCAGTCTTGAATCTGCAGCACTTGGCGCAAAAGCAAACATTGAAGGCGGTCCACGCGCGGCTCACGCGCGTGCTTGCTTGATTTCGGGGAATTTGTAGCAAACAGGGCCCACAAGAACAGAGAAGCAGGAGGGAATGGAGCTTGGCCATGTCTTGAAGTAACTCTTAACGCCACTGTCGAGACAGATGGCGACCTCTCCGTCTGCCCGCCTCGCTCTGTCTCTCTCTCCCCCCCTTCCTCTCTCTCTGCCTGCCTGGCTGCCTCTCTTTCTCTGCCCGTCTCATGCTTGCTCACCCCCTAGGCTTGCCATCCTGGTCCTGCACCATGCGGATCGACTGGATGCGGCCGAACTGCTCGAACTCCCTGCGCAGCTTTTTCTCGGTGGTGTCGTAGCTGATCTTGGCGATAAAAAGGGTCTTGTACGCGTCCCCCTTGGCCTTAGGGTCGTCCTTCGGGTTCCACTTTGAAATTTTGTCCTTGAGACCCTCCTCATCGGCCTGTGCCCGTTGAACATGGCGCGTTTGTTGGGTGTGAGTACTTAAATTTATGGTTCGACATGTTCGGTGCGGGTACACGAGGTTGCGGTTCAAGTTTCGCGATTTCGATGTGGTGGTGGTTATGGTTGCTCTTGTGTTCGCGATAAAACCCGTCCCGGCTTGCAACCAGCGGTGCCTGCACAGCATCCGGACTGATCCCCGACTCACGTTCTCAGATGCGATTACTTGACGGACGTGTGCGTGGTAACGCGTGCGTGCGCGAGTTTTGTGCGCTCTTGTGTCCTTGGTTGCCGGTCGTGCTTATGGGCAAGTGTCTCTGGTGTTTTTCGTGTGCACTGCTGATTACCTGCAGCCTGAAAAAGATATTTGCGTGTGGTGTTTGATACTCCGTTTCGCAACAAAGCATACAACTAATGCGTGGCTCTTCGACTCGGGTCTACTGAGCCCTGCTCTGGCAGATGCGAACCTCAAGGTGTTCAACGCGGTTGTGACAATCGTCCGCCGGGAGCCAAACAAGCAATACGAAGCAAGTCAGCCTTTACAGGTCTTCTTGTGCACCTCGGACGTTGTCCTTGTGATCTTGGCAGACATCGATCATGAAGAGGGTGCAGAAGACGAATTTTGATGTTGATTTATTTTGAAACACACGCAAGAGCACCAGAAATTGCACAACAGACACAATAGAGCAGCAGGAAGGCACCGCGAAAAACAGAAATCGTTGATTCTCGCACAGGGCGGAAGTAGAGGCTGCTCAAAAACATACTTTTCACGCGCCTACCTCCACAGGCCTGCTTTGAAATCAAGATAAATATTCGCACCATTCTGAATTCAAGTCAAAGGAGCCAAAACGAAATGCGTTCAAACAAGGTCAGTTTTTAGGTATTATATTGTCATCAGTAGAGGACATCATGAAGAGGCGTTGTGCGTGCTGGCACATTCAGATTTGCTACTAGAGCTGAAATATCAAAGGTCGCAGCAGCCTTTGAAAACAGTCCGAAATCTGCGCCGGAACCACGCGGCATCCAACATTCACAGCAATGCTCGCCGCCACCGACCCCTATCTCCTCAACTACGGGTTTACAGCGGCAAAGGTTTACGGTCTGTGGCGGTGAGCATGGCTGTGACGAATGTTGGACGCCGCTTGGTCCTGGCGCAGGTTTCGGGCTGTTTTCAGAGGCTGCTGCGACCTTCGATATTTTCGCTCCACTAGCAAACCTGAATGTGCCAGCACGCACGACGGCTCTTCATGGTGTCCTCTACTGATGACAATGGAATGCCTAACCTAACCCTGGCGGGAAGGGTGTTTTCTTTCTTTGTATAGAATTAAAGTATGGGAAAAGAGCCAGCGTCAAAACCCCTTTTCTGCACCCCCTTTATCCTTTGCTTCGTTGTTTAAGGTCAACAGAACGCGGCTTGGAACACACTAAAAGACATGAGCACACATGCTCGACTCTCCTTGCGCCATCCTCCCTATCCGAGGACCTGCGGTTTATACACCGTTATTTTCTTCTCCCCATAGGTAAGCCTGGCGTCCAAGACCGCCGGGCAAGCACGATCCATACTGATGAAACAACGCACACACATGCACACGCGGAGAGTAGCATAGCCTCCCCCATGACGCCTCCTCACGGGGTCCCAGATCACGGCCTTTAGAAGCATTTTGTGCTTTCAACCGCACTCAGACTGACGTCTTTTCATTGGCAAGCCGGTTAGCGCGGTCGATGCAAATCATAAAACACAAACACGACAACCGACACGCCGGTGGGAAGAGGGGGGCACGCACACCGGAGAAAAAACAACCACTAAAGTAAGCCGTCTCCCCCAATGATTTAACGCCAACACATGCGCACCTTCTTCTTCGCTGCCGCGATCCGGGCGTGCCTCTGCCTGGGGGTTTCAAACTTCTCGGGCGGCGGGGGCGCCCCCTTCTCGAAGAGATTGGCCGCGCCCTTGCCCTTGAGCATCGCCGCCACCCCCTCCACCGTGGGAGGCTTTCGCTTGCAGACGCTCTTCTTGAACTCCAGCGGCGGAGGAGGTTCGAACATGGCTCGCATGGCTGTTGTTGATGATGTTGTTGTTGTTTCCCCCCGAATGGAGTCCAACCAAGAGAGAGGGAGCAAACAACCGGCAGCAGCAACAGCAGCATGTTTGACAAGGGGGTTAAGGAAACAGCGTAAGATCAAAAGGCTTACGGGTGTGCAATTACAGCAGCGCCTTGGCGGGTAGAAAGGTGTTGCTTACAGGTATCGTGTTCCATCATGCTTAGCGACAACACCAGAGGGAAACATGCCACCCGGGCGAAACCTCTGTGGCAGCAACCCAACAGCCTGCCGGGAGGCTTTATTTGTTTCATGCATAGAGCGTACTATTGTTGTTGGCCAACCTACCCCCCCTCCTGCAACCACATTGGAGTTGTGGGAGCAAGCGAGAGAGCGTTGGCGCGGCGAAATTGAAAAAACTAGCTGTGTGTGTGTGTAGGTGTTTGTGCGCGCTTTTGTGCGCGTTTTCCAACTCCCACTGCCAGGTTTTCGTCTGCACGACAGCATCAGTGATGCAATCGCCAAGGGAGCTCAATCGTCTACCAAACCTCTCTATGCAAAGTTATATGCATATTGGTGGTCACAGAAGTCCTGCGGCTACGAAAGAGCGCGCAATCGCCACAACAACGGATACGCCCTCTTCTTCCACTCGGGGGAAAGTAAAAGCCAACAAACACCAACGACCTGCCGATGCAAAGCAGCACAAGCGTTCAAAAAAGGGAGCTCACCTCCCTCCATCATCTGGATGGCCGGTCCTCCCTTCCCCATGGACATCTGCCCGCGAGGAGTGTTACGCCTGTTCATCGTGCCTGCCTTGGTGTCTTGCTCCCCACCGGGGCCAAAAGACTAAGTTGATTTTCTTTTGCTCTCCCTCTCTCTCCGCTCAACCAGGACGTACGTGCACAGAGAACAACAAAAGATCCTCCTTTCGATTTAGCAACGAAAAACGCGCACGGGATCCTCCTTCCCTGTCCTGGTGAGTGTGGCGTGTTCGCTCTGCTGTCCTGCTGCTGTCCAGGGCCGTGGCCCGGAGAGGGGGGGTCTCCGAAGGAGATCACAACTACATGCGTACACACATCGAACGAGCCCACAGACGTCCAGAAAAAAAAACACAAAAAAAAACACAAAAAGAAAGTGGGCAGGTATGTTGGGTTATTACGATACTCTGAACTGCGAGCCCCCCGCTTGCACACCTCTCTGGCCATGCATGACCTCTCTCTCTTTCTCTCCTCATCCTTGAGGGGTGGGCGCTTGCACAAGCAGTGCGGAGGTGCCATCCGGCCTACTATGAGCAAGTCCATCAAGGCAAGATGATTTTTCTGTTTGAATGCGGGCGGCTGAAGGCACTTTGCCCGCGAGTGGTTTCAAAATTTACAAATTCGCCGCAGAAAAAATTCAAAAACCCCGAGGCGCGCTTCCTTCGCAACCACATGAGGGTGCTACAATAGAACACCCGACAAACCGAGTTCCCCTAAATCTTCCGTCTACAACTTCCCAGCATATAATACAGATAGATACACAAGATGGCTACCAAACTGCCTTATTGAGCCTATTACCCACAGGGGAGTTATCGTTGGATGCTGTCTGGGAAAGTGTAGACATACAGGTAGCCTTTCGCTCACGCTATTGATTCATTGCTAATCTATCTTAGACTAGAGTTATAGATAGAGATGGATTTGTTGTGTGATATTAAGAAGAAAAAAAAAATGGCCGACGATATGAAGTACAGCACGGCAGTGTTGATGGCATCCATCCGACCGCTGCATCACATCACTACTGCTAGATCCCGTCGTGCCTACATGACCTGGGCCTTATGCATGGATAACTGGAGCGCGTGGATGTAAAAATCCAACTTCGATGTGTGTGGCGTCAACGCGGATGTGTTTAGTCTGTCGAGATGAACACGAACAAAAACACCGTCGTTCCATTTTCGAAATTCGGTGCAAGCACATTTCTTTGCAGGCTCTTCCGCCGTATTGTAGGCGATTGCCTCGTATTTTTGTGGTCGAGTTTGGCTATTATACTGAAAATAGAGTTTAAGAAAAGTTAGTGTATCTAAATCGCGAAGTAAAATCGCCTACGGGGGAAAAGCCTGTTTCTTTGGGACCTTTTGCACCCCGCGAGATGGAGCTGAAGCCCACACCACACAACACACACGGCACTGGCGTGCCGCCGTGCGCAGCAGGGCCGTGCTTCTCCCGTCTGGCCGTGAAGCTGTGTGTTTTTCACCCAACTTATAGACCCTCAGTAGTCACTTCAAGTGTCGCACCATTACCTCTTGAGCAGCAAAACATGATGTCGTCGACCGTGTAGCTTGTAGTACACCACCATCAACGACGGATGTACATGATCTACACACCAGTTTACATGTTTACATGTTTACATATCTAGTGTTTACACCCACGAAAAAGGTGGCATGGCCTGACACATACCATGCCTCTGCGTTGGAAGTAGCACGGTTCCGATAAGATGCGCAGGTGCCATGACAACACCTACACAATGCACTCGTATGTATGCAATGTGCGGATTGCGTCGGCTAGACAATCACACCAAACGTCGGACAGACAATCACAACATCGGCCGGGAAAGATGTCGATTGTCGCAGTTTGACCCCTTGACAGCGGTCAAGCACCTAACGCCCACAATAAAACTAGTGGTACATTTCCCAAATAGAGGCCTTGGCAAGCTGTCAAACGAGCAACAACCGACGTGTCTTTGAAAACATTAATACAAAATTAAACTATTGGCCGTGCCTCAGCCCGACGACGCATGCAGCAACCATTCAAATTCGCTCGCTCGTTGGTGTGCCTTTGTTATTTGCATCGACCGCGCTAGCTAATCGTAACAGCGTGGTGTGTGTGTGTGTGTGTGTCTTTATCATTAGCATCGACCGGGCTAACCGGCTGACCGATGAAAAGACTTGCGTTTTTGTGCGTGCAGGCGAAGTGTCGAGTGCTCCATTCGAGGAAGACGACCAACCGGCCCGTCGGCCAGGCGGTCCTCGAGGACAGGCTAAGGTTCGACGCGGACAGCAAGACGATCACCGCCGGCAGCAAGAGCAAGATCAAGGTGTGGGTGGTGGTGGTGGTGGTCCGCAGCGGTGGTGGTCCGCAGCGGTGGTGGTAGCGGCGACGCGGACTCAAGACGATCGCCGCGCCGGTAACTATTATTTTATAGGAGAAAATATCAACGTGCGCGTTTGTTGTCGCCGCGGTGGTGGTGGTGGTGAAGACGTTTGTTGATTGCTGCTGCCGACCGAACACGAAGCCGCTCTCAAGCACACCTTCTTGATCAACTGTTGTAACGTCCGTCTGACTGCGTTCACCACGTTGTGGCTGCCCTCTTTGCTGCGCTATTGGTAGCTGTCCGATCTCGAGGTCCCGCCTCGAGAAGCGAACGGAGAGGTGCAGCTAGTCTCGCGGAACATGCGCATCGTCACGGCCTCCACGACCGACTCGCTTGAGCTTCTTGCGTCGGTGAAGGAGGCGTACCGATTGGAGAGCGGCGGTGGCGGCGGCGGCGGCGGCGGTCGCAAGCGAAATGTTGGAAGCGGAGGAGGCGGCACCCCGAGAACGAAAGCCTTCAAGCCGTTAAACACGCTTAACCTGGTCTCACGCCCCCCTGCTCAAGCCTCCCGCGGCGGCAAGCGCGGGAAAAAAATGGCGTCGGTAGCGGCTGCGGCCGGTGGTGCCTCTGGCGGCGATGCTAAACGCCACCGATCGGTTCTGGGCGGCATGGGGGCGATGTCTTCGGGTACGCTGTATAGGGGGGGGGGAGGGCTGGAGCGCGGGGGATCGGGCAATGATCGTCGGGGCTACAGAGCCCGCTGCGGCGACGACCAAGAGGTGATGTTTGGTTTTTCATCCTGTCGACGCCATCGCTAGAACAAATGACGCTGCTTGCGGCCCGACTTGTCTCATCCACGGCTGCTGTGGGAAGTCAGTTTCTTGTTTTCTTTGGAGCCATTAACAAGAAGACTCGGTTGTTGTGCGTTGTATGGCCGGCGATGATTGCAGAAGTGGAGGCTGTCTGCGAAAGTTCTATGTACGCATTCAGACGGACAGACAAGAGAGACAAAGCAAACGCAATATTTTTTGTATCAAGGCGTAGGAGAAGGACTTTCGGCACGCAAGTTTATCCCGAAGACTGAGCGTTTCATGAAGTCGTGTAAACTTTAGAAGAGAGAGAGAGAGAGAGAGAGAGAGAGAGAGAGAGAGAGAGAAGTATGACTGGTTCTGTATTTCCATGGAAGAAGCGGTAGCTGCTCGATGACCAGCCCCCCGAGGTGGTGTGTTGTGTTTTCGTTTCCGGTGCCCCCGGCGACGGGTGCCATGTTCAATAGGCATAGGATCAAATGCTAACCTTTGCCAGAAATCACGACAGCCGATCGATGCCCCTGAAACGCCGTAAGCCTGTTGTATCGATCTCTCCACCGCCTCCCATTTCTGTAATCGCGTTTAGGGTTCGCGTGCCCGGGTACACAACGACGTTCGTTTTTTTTTTTTGTGCTGTTCAGCCGCTTAAGTTCATAAGCAAGTGACGTTTTTTTTTTTTTCATGGGGTTCATTCTGTCTCCGTTTTTTAAGCAGAATGCGAACGTCAGGTAACAAGGAGCGGGTGGAGTCTAAACCCTATCCGACAAAGTGTTCCATTCTTCCTTGACAACGTCGTCACTCGTCGAATTCAATCTCTTCGATTTTCGATTGTTGGGATTGTTAGAATGCCAGCTACGGGGGCGCTATGACGGATCTCTCTCTCTCTCTCTCTCTCTCTCTCTCTCTCTCTCTCTCTCTCTCTC